AAATACAGAATATGCCTTAAACTATCAGGGGGCTTAATCTTATGATTTCACGCGAAACCCTAAAGCCTAGTCCGAGCGATATTCCTTAGGGTTTAGGGTTTAGGGGTTTAGGGTTTTAGGGTTTATGGTTTTGGGGAGAGTTTCCGAAAATAGGGGGGGGGGGGGGTACCTTATTTCGGGGTCCTTATAACAAGGGTCCTACTATTTAGGGTACTATATTAGGATCCACTAATTTTCGGAAACCCCCCTGCAGGGGTGTAGGGTTTTAGGGTTTTTAGGGTTTAGGGGCTTTTAGGGTTTAGGGGTGTAGGGTTTTAGGGTTTATGGTTTTGGGGCTTTTAGGGTTTAGGGGTGTAGGGTCTTAGGGTTTACGGTTTGGGGTTTTTAGGGTTTAGGGGTTTCGGTTTTAGGGGTGTAGGGGTTTAGGGTTTAGGGTAATAGCCCAGGCCATGTGTAAAGAAAGGGTATATGGCTTAGGGTTTAGGGGTCAACGGTTTCTTTAAGGGGACTGTTCGATGTTTTATGGTTTTATGGTGTTAAGGGTTCCTTTTCGGGTGCTAGGAGAAATGTTGCTTGGATGTGGTTTTAGAAGGAGTTCCTACACTTTCGAGTGTTTTGAGGGCTTGACTGTTGAAGGGAGTGTGTAGATGTAGATAGCGAGAGAGAGACCGAGAGTGAGAGCAAAAGAGAGGGAGAGCGAGCATTTGTTGTGCATGTATATATATATATACACACACATACTTTGTGATAAATGCCGGCGACAAGATCCATTACAGTGATCATTACATTACAGGCATACCTTCTCCAAGCCAAAGCTTCCTGGTGCAGATGTCAGCTCTCATGGTGTTTAGGGTTTAGGGTTTAGGGGTGTTGTACTGATTTGTTGGGTCGGTTTGGCCGAAGCTCGGAACATCATCTTGGTTTCCGGGCATGTTCAGGAAATATTTGCGAAAGCCGATGCGTGTCAACCTCAGTTCTGGATTTTTGCATTACACGGATCCGCAGTTGGGCCTGCGGGTTGAGGGTCGCAAGAAAACCCGCTGATGCACACCACAAGGCTAAATGCATGTCTTCTTGGCGTGTTTCTTCCACAGTGGGTCGGTAGGTGCTTGCTGAGTCTTAGCTTATCCTGGTATCTGTGAATTAGCGGACCAACTGTGCTCCCAACGAATCTACAAAGCCGACACCACTTATGCTTCCAACAACCCGTAAGCTGTGTCGGATTCCGATACTGAGTACGTAAACCCCCAACCAGATTCTAAGGAGCTTTCTGACCCCTAAACCCGAAACTCTAAACCCTCAACCAGATTCTAATGAGCTTTCTGACCCCTAAACCCGAAACCCTAAA